CTCACGTCAACTTGATCCGAAGAGCTTCCAACGCCGGACCTCTCGGTCACCGTGATCGCATCTGTGCGCTCGGTGGCCAGCTCCTACAAAAAAACACTTGCAAGCAGCGTCCAAAACTCTTCAAATCTATGAAGCCTCCTCTCCAACAAGAAAAGCTCACAAAGCTCTCAAACCTTCAAAAGCTCTCTCCCACACAAAAACATTCATCAAAGCGCTGCCTCAAAAGAAAACTCTCAACAGTCGAACGTACTTGTACTGCTTTATCCCACGACGGGCCCATTCCGAGTTCTCGTGGTCGCGCTCTTCCAGCGTCTTCAGCAGGGCGTCCACCAACTCTTTCTCCTCCGGCTTCTCCAAGCTCAGGCTCTGCTCGTTGGCGATCTGCTTCTTAGTCAGCCACTCCTTGGTGCTCAGGTAAGTTTCCTTTTCGGAGACAACGCTCTGCTTTGTGACTTCTCCACTCCACCGAAGCTTTGGATCCTTCAGGAACTTCGCCAAGCACTCCCTCTTCTCGTCCGGGTTGGCGCTCTTCCAGTGGCTGTCCAGCTTTGCGACATCCGCGTCGCCCTGGCTTTTCCTGTACTGGATAGCTGCTCGAATTTTTTTCAGCGCCGCAGCGTCCATGGCCTGCTTGTTGCGCGCCCTGCGCTTTGAGAGTGGCGCATGCATCTTCTCCTCGGGCTCGCCTCCTGCGGCGCTTGGGCTCGGCTCCGTCGCGGGCGGCTCAAGGTCAAGTGCAGCAGCTTTCTTCTCCTCCAAGTCTTCGCCGGCCTTCCTCAAGGGCGAAGCAACGCTCTTGGCGGCCGACTTCTTCTTGGCCTTGGGTTTCGGCTGCGACTTCACCTTGGGAGAAGGAGAAGGCTTATTCGACTTTCTTGGCATCGCAAGGCGGCGGGCTATCCGGTGCGTCGTGCAAGGCCAAGTGCTAAGCGCAGGCTCTTGAGACACGCAGTAAGGAATCCATATGACACGCAATGATGCATTGCTCCAAGCTCTCAAAACGATTCTTTTCGCCTTGGGAGCATTCTTTGCTTTCGGGGTAGGCTGTGCTTTCGGGGCAGGCTGTGCCTTTGCCTTCGCCTTGGGCGTTGGCGCGGCAGAGGACTTTTCTTCCTTCAGCGCGGCAGCTGCTGCCAGGATTGGAGTTTTCGGGGATGTGGAAGATGCCGAGATAGGGTCCTCCTCCTCGCGCGAGCTTGTCAGGCTTAGCATGGACGCCGCTGCGCGTAGTTTCTTTGGTTCCGGCTCGTCCTCGTGCTCGTGATAGCGATCCATGATCGCTGGTAGCGATCTCAGCTTGTTGTACCGGATCTCCAAAGGCTGCGGTCGTAGGCGCGCAACCAAAGCATGCAAGAGATCCTTGTTCGACGTCTTCTGCTCCGCTTTGATCTTGGTGACGGCAATCTCCTTCTTAGTGTTCCTGCGCACGAACAAAAAAAGGCAAAAGCATCTTGTGTAAAACCAAATCACAATCCGAAGCATTCGAGAGCTGTCCTCATGGGAATGCTCGCAGCAAACGAAGAAATCTGCACGTAGCTCCACAGTTGGTCATGTTCCAAGACACGAGAAGAGCTTCCGGCCCTGTCCAAAAGAGCAGGGTCAAGGCGGGCAGGATCAGAGGGCAACAGGGCTGGAAACTTCGAGATATCACTGGACGTCTCCGAGTACTTTGCCGTGCACACGCTGCGCAGGATCTCCTTGTGCGTCAAGAACGCGTCAAATTTTTCCTGGACACTCATGAGGAGAGGCTCCTTCTTGGAAGCTAGGAGGCAAACGGCAGTGAAGGATCTGCTGGTTGGCTCACTGGGCGAGCACAAGCCAAGACGTGCCAAGCAGGCTGCAAGCTGGAGCGCCTTCTCCGAGCCACTGACTTCCTTTTTTCCAAGCGTGGACCATAAGTCGGCCGGGATGTACGTGGGGAAGTGCACGTAGTTCTGCAAGACGCGCCGCTTATGCAAGGGACGCTTGCCGTGCGCTGCTCCAGCAATGAGAGCGTCTCTGTCTCTGAGAACACGGCTGTCGCTTTCAAAGCCTTCATCAGCTCTGTGGCATCTTTCAAAGACAAATTTGAAGCCTTCACTGCGTAGGACAGGCGCTGAAACTGCTGCATCCTGGCCTTTGTGAAATCTTCTGGCCCTAGCGCCTGCTGCGCTTGCAGCAAGTACTCGGCAGTTTCTGCCCACAGCTCGCGGAGGCACGACATGCTGGCAGCGGCCTTTCTTCTTGGGCTTGCTCGGCTACCGCAACATGAACCGCATGCACATTGCTAAGACTCTCAGCTCTCAAAACCATGACGGTTCTCAAACCCTGAAAACTCTCATAAACTCTCAAGTCTTTCAATGTTCTCGATCTCAGAACTCTCAAAACTTTTCAACTCTCAACACATTCCAGGTTCTGACAAACTCTCAAACCTTGAAAACTCTCAGAACTCGAACCCCCTCAGAACTCTCAAAGCTCTTAAACTCTCAAGACCATGAAAACTCTCACATGAACTCTCACCCCTCAGAATTCTTAAGCTCTCAATACGTTCAAGGTTCTTATCCTGCTCTCAAACCCTGAAAACTCTCATAAGCTCTCACGACGTTCCAGGTTCTTATCAAACTCTCAAACCCTGAAAACTCTCATAAACTCTCAAACCTTCAAACCACTATTAAACTCTCAAGACGTTCCAGGTTCTCATGCATCAACTCTTAAACCATGAAAACTCTCATGAGCTCTCAAACCCTCAAAACTCTCCAAGCAAAACCCGCGTGATGAGACAAAGGATCCTTTCATTTGAGCCGCTTTTTTGCACTCTCGCCAAACAACGACGTAAGCCCGCTATAGCACCATGATGGCTCAAACTCTCAACAATTCGCTCACAAAATCACAGCCGAGGCCAACGCTGGCTGCGCCTATTTTGCACAAAACTCTCATCAGGTTGCTACGAAAACATTGCGACATGCAAAGCACAGTATACGTGGCGATCAACGAAAACCGACCTGAAAAAACACGAAAAAGTTACAAAAAGTTAGCAAAACTTATCAAGAGTTACACACACACACTTAAACTTACCATAACTTAAAAAAATAGCAAGTTCAATAAACGATTATATGTCCCCGCAAGTGTTGGAAATGACTATGCCCGAGTTGACCTAGTTGCCGAGCACTTGCCGAGCGCTTGCCGCCCAGTTGCCGCCTACTTGCTAACTGCTATCACTTGTCGGCAATCGCCGCGGCTGGTCTTAGTACGGGACCGGAAGACTCCCGAAAGACTACGGGATGCCGAAATCTAAAAAAAGCACGGTCTGGGGGCCGAAAGTGAGCATTTCGAGCACGCCTCGGCCGGAGCGGGCCGAAATGAGCGTGTTCGGTCGGCCTCCAAACACTGCATTTTCTTGCTTTTAGCGTCGGAAGACTACGGGAAGACTGCGGGCAGACTATGGGAAGACAGAAGACTACAAGATGCCGAAACCTAAAAAAAGCAAGGCCTGGGGGCCGAAAGTGAGCATTTCGAGCACGCCTTGGCCGGACCGGGCCGAAATGAGGGACCGGAAGACTGCCGGAAGACTACGCAATGCCGAAACCTAAAAAAAGCAAGGCCTGGGGGCCGAAAGTGAGCATTTCGAGCACGCCTCGGCCGCAGCGGGCCGAAATGAGCGTGTTCGGCCTCCAAGCACTGCATTTTCTTGTTTTTGACTACGGGAAGACTGTCCGAAATAAGCGTGTTCGGTCTCCAAACGCAAGGCTTGGGGGCCGAAAGCGAGCATTTCGAGCACGCCTCGGCCGGAGGATGCCGAAATGAGCGTGTTCGGCCTCCAAGCACTGCATTTTCTTGATTTTAGCGTCGGAAGACTACGGGAAGACTGCGGGCAGACTGTGGGAAGACGGAAGACTACAAGATGCCGAAACCTAAAAAAAGCAAGGCCTGGGGGCCGAAAGTGAGCATTTCGAGCACGCCTTGGCCGGAGAGGTCCGAAATGAGCGTGTTCGGCCTCCAAACGCTGCATTTTCTTGGTTTCAGCGTCGGAAGACTACGGGAAGACTGCGGGACCGGAAGACTGCCGGAAGACTACGGGATGCCGAAACCTAAAAAAGCAAGGCCTGGGGGCCGAAAGTAAGCATTTCGAGCACGCCTCGGCCGGAGCGGGCCGAAATGAGCGTGTACGGCCTCCAAGCACTGCATTTTCTTGATTTTAGCGTCGGAAGACTACGGGAAGACTGCGGGCAGACTATGGGAAGACGGAAGACTACAAGATGCCGAAACCTAAAAAAAGCAAGGCCTGGGGGCCGAAAGTGAGCATGAGAGGTCCGAAATAAGCGTGTTCGGCCTCCATAGCTGCATTTTCTTGATTTTAGCGTCGGAAGACTACGGGAAGACTACGGGACCGGAAGACTGTCGGAAGACTACGGGATGCCGAAACCTTAAAAAAGGCAAGGCCTGGGGGCCGAAAGTAAGCATTTCGAGCACGCCTCGGCCGGAGCGGGCCGAAATGAGCGTGTTCGGCCTCCAAACACTGCATTCGGAAGACTACGAGAAGACTGCGGGCAGACTACAGGAAGCCGAAACCTGCCGAAAGTGAGCATTTCTAGCTGGAGAGGGCCGAAATGAGCGTGTTCGGCCTTTCAAACGCTGCATTTTCTTGGTTTCAGTGTCGGACGACTACAGGCAGACTACAGGAAGACTGCTGGAAGACTATACGGGATCGGCCGGAGAGGGCCCAACAGTAACACTCTTTGGAAACCAGGTTTGGCGCGTAGTTGCGTGCAAAAAGCGGCGTGGTAACTGCTCGTTTTTCGGCGCGGTTACTGGCAATACTGTGCGGCGCGGTTACAGCACGATCTCCCAAAAGGAGACCTCCCGAATTTTTAGGATTTCTGGTTTCGAGACAGACACAGGTGTGTGTTTCGTTTAGGGCACCCCAACATGGTGGTTCTCCTCTTGGTTTCCTCTTGGCTTCCCTTTAAAATCCAGTAAAAAGGGGGTACCCTCATTGTCGAGACAACCACCCAGCTACGCAGGGACGGGGGACCATCACATTCATCACCAACGATCAGTACACCGGTGAGTTCAAGGACTTTTTTTTTTGAGCCACACTCGCGCGCGCTTGATGCCGGCGCCCATTAGCCAGTGGACGTTAGGAGTCCATGTTCAACGGCTTGGGCTGCTACACGTGCTTGATCTCAGGACGTTACGTCATTTCTATAAGCTTTCGATTGGACGTTGCTTTGTTTTGTTTTTTCTTCAGAGCTCTTGCAGTGTTGAGGTGGTCATCTGGGGTGACGCTCACCGGCGTCTTTGAGAACAACCTTTGCAGCAAGGCAGTGCAGATATGTGCATGTCACAAAACCTGAATTTTGGATCTTGCTGGTGCATCGAAGATCGAACAGCATGATCGATAGACCTCTTTGGATTCGATCGAACAGTGTAATTTTTAGCTGCTACACTTTGCAGGTTGGCAAGAAGACCTACACCAACGGTCTCGTCTATGTCGGAGAGTTCTTCGAAGACCAGGACCGATGGAACCATTGGAGCATAGCAGTTTGCTGGGTGCCAAAGTAGTTGAGATGCTGTGGATGCCATGGATGCGGTGGGTCATTCGCAATAAGGGTACCCTCCCAAAAACAAACCGCACAGGGGTCCCCCCAAACACGAAAATGGTCTTCCAAGAAGCCCCTGTGCAGGTTCTGTGTTTGACTTTGGGAGGGCATGACTTTTGAAACGTGCATCACGTGAGGAGCACGGTCGCGGCGTGTTGACCGACGCCTTTGGCACTCGAGTGGTGGGAGTTTGGAACAGCGGCAAGCGTGGGCCCCGGAGTTCTCTCGAAGCGGCGGGGGTCACGGGACCCCGTGGGCCCCGCCCATAGCCAGAGTCACGATCTTTTTCGTAGGCCTTACACATAGTGTGGACATACCCAATAGAAGTTCAGCATGACGTGTGCGAGGAGGGGATGGGGCGATTGCCATCCCTGTGCGGGTCGGTATGAGGGTGATTCCAATCCCTTCCCGCATATGTCGCGCTGAACATTTTTGTGGTATTTTCATCCTGATGGAGCAACGCCGCTGGAAGCATGACAGAATCCTTGCATATTGCACCCGGAAGAGTAATTCCCATCGCTTCGCTACACTGTTGTGGAAGACAACTCGCGCACGGTATCATCAAAGACGCTGATGACTTTTGGGATGACATAATCATCGCATAGTTTGACTAAGGAGTTAAAGGAATCCCAAGAAACAGAACTAACGTGGCAGATATTAGCTTGTCAAAAGCAGGGCTCCTGTAAACTCCTGTAGGACACTGTGTCCCTATCCAACAGGCGAGCAGAAATAGGGCGCTTGGATCTAGTTGTAAACGCTTCGCGTTGCCCGCCTCGGCCAGTATGCTTTTGGCTGGCTTTGAGGTACTGTGTTTTGGTTTGCCTTGAAGTGTTGTGTTTGTTTGAGTGAGTGAGTCGGCGCCAGCTGGTTCCCAGCCTGAGAGCTACAGAAGGGAAGCCAAGGCCTGGGCTGAGGCCAGAGCCACCAGGAACTAGGGTTGGGCTGCGCGGCTGGGTTTGTAGGGGAATTTGGCCTGACTGGCTTCTAGGGATAAATTTGGCCGGGTTGTAGAAAAGCCGTAGGTTTGACCGTTTCTAGGATTTGGCCGGTTTCCCGGCCCTGGGGCCAAGGCAAATTGGAGGGGGGGTTTTGCCCGGACCCGCAACGTCCACTGAAGGGACCGCAAAAGGACGTTGAATTGCGTGGTTTTTGCAGCACATTCTAGCTTCACCTGCGCGGACGTGGGAGTACGCGCGGATCGCGGATTTTCACATTTCTGCTGGAGGCCGCAAAGTTAGCACACATTCGCTACATATCTTCGTTGCACACCGCACATGACAAAGCCGCCAGGCAGGTTGCATGCCCCTCGCTACAAACCCCGATGCGTGCCCAGACTCTCAGTGATTTCCCGTGGGTGCTTGCAGAGCAGACTATTGCAGAGCATGCCCGCGCTGAAGAGTCAATGCCGTTCAGAACAAAAAGTTGGAACAAGCCGGAAGACAGACCCTCGCCATACCTCGCTACGCACCTCGACATACCTCGTTACGGACTCAACCCAACCCGGGCCAGTGACCTGCTTCTTGTCGCCGCTCTGTGTGACTTCGTGTCGCGTCGCACGGTGTATAGATACCCTCGAAGAATCACATCCATATCTCTGCTTGCTGCTCTCGGTTTCCGTGACACTCCAGGCCTGCAGTCATTGGATCAGGCGTTCAAAAAGCCTGGACCACACCGTGTCAGACGCTTTCCGTGTTTCCTTCTTGGTTGATCTTTCGAAGAATCTGGGCCACCGACGCGATCATGCCTACCCGCCCCGCAGCCTCCCGCCCCAGCACCACGCAGGGTTGGTTTCCGGGCAAACTCCCGCCCGTCTACCCAACAAGTTGGCCTGAAAAAACGAGACGCACAACCAAAGGTGAGCGGATGTTTTTTCTTTTTCTGAGGCTTGAGGAGGAGCTCATCGAAATGCTCGTCTCCGCTCCAGAGGTGGACCCCCGTGGCCCACCAGAGCAGAAGCTCGGCGATGAGTCAAGTCGGTTGAGAGCCCTAGGGTTCGTTGGGGTTCCTTGGCTTCTTAAGATTCCTTAGTGTTGCTTAGTGTTCCTTAGGGTTACTTAGGGTTCTTTCGGACCCCCCTAGGGATTGGTAACCGAAGGAAAACCAAAGCCATTTTGGGAGTCCTTCTATTTTAACACACACACACACACACCCTGTGCATTTGTTGGGTCTTGGCCCATGTTAGTAGGTTTAGTCCAGGCTGCTGCTTCCCAAAGACTAGAGAAGACATCAATTGAGCAGCGCACGAAACCTGCTGGCCTTTGGTTCTACTAACATGGTTAGTGAGGGCTACTAGAAATCCCTATTCAAACAGGTAGTAATAGAACCGCCTAGTACAATCAATGGCCGATGGGCGTTTTGGTCTCTGCTCAATTTGTTGTTCTTGATATGACATTGCTTGCGCTTTTTCACAGACCTAGAAGGCTCAGTGGCATGCCACCAGCGGCGCGTTATGGCATACCTGATTTGGCAGCACGCACAAGCGTCGGTGATGACACAGCAGGCGATCGCACTTAGCCACCTAAAATTGCTTGACTTTGAATGCCTTGTATACATAATGATCATAATATAATATTTATTATACATGACCACCGGTTCGGCCAATATTCCACCTTTTTTCCGAGTTGCAGGGTTGCGAAGTTGATCCCTTGCCCGCGCTCGAGTGTCTGCTGAGGCGGGTCTTCGTAGCATCTCGTCGGCCCGACGCCCTGACGCAGACGTGACGCCCTGAGAATGGTCAAATGCCCTGCTTTCTGGGGGAAGTTACACTCCCTCAGACGAACAACCGGAATTCCCCAACCAAGTCTTCCAAAGGCGTCCTGGCAGCCTCCATGTTAGCCTGGGGGAAGTTAGACAACCATTGTGAGGATTTCATTACAAGTAATTTTTGGGGTCCCTGGGTTTAGCACGGACGGGTTCTACTTAGATCCGGGGTGAACAAGGAAGCCATGATCATGGTCCAAGGAGTTTTGACATTTCGCTTGAGAATTGATAGAGCGAAGCTTCTCGGGGATAAGAGGGATTGACTCATTCGGCTTGAATGTGTGCGTTTAAACCACACAATGCATGGCCCCATCCTGCAAACATCCGGCACACCAACAGTCCGGGTCAATTTGAGGGTACGATTTTTTTCTTCTCCGGGAAGCCAGCAGGAAAACCATCCAGTTTTGGGGCCCCCTGCAAAAAGATGCCCAGCCGTAGGAAGTTGGCTATGAAGTGGTTGATTCCGCTATAGCCTTATTTGTGATTCTGCTACCTAGCTCAATAACGTAGTAAGGCTTAAAACATGTCAGGCGGAAACGGAAACCGGAGAATGACGGGACAGTCTCAGATCCGCACTGGGCGTGGCAGAAGACATCTTTTGTAGCCATCGTAGTAGATCCGAGAAGTCAATGGGTTTTGGGCGCTGCTCATGTGAATGTGTATTTGCTTAGGCTTCCAGAAGCAGTCAGCAGCAGCGGCAGCGACTGTGCCGGCCTTGGAGTCAGACAAAGTGCAGCCTGTGGTCGACACACCTGGACCCACATGGGAGCTTTTTGCTTTGAGGGAACGCTTTCAGGGGTTGGTTTAGAGAAACATGGGAAACTGTGAAAACACATCTGTGCGGAAGTTCCATTGAAAGACCAACCCACGTCATTTTTCATTTCAGGTGTTCGAAGTTCCATTTTCCGAATGCAAGTTGGTATTTCAACTTGTTCTGTTTGCAGTTTAACAATCATGGACAGTATAATCAAAGGACGCTTCCCCTGTTGGGCTTGATTCTTTATGTGGGCAACAAAATCATCACCTGTTGATATTTGTTTTGCAGCGAATATCTTTATCCCGCTACCTCCAAGTCGTGGCTGATTCCTGGCGAGGAACCCCAGATAAATGGATCCCTGCCTTGGTTGATTCTTTTTTTTGGGGGATGTGGGGATTCAGACCAATTGAGTGGAACCCCCACCCCGATGGCTTCTACTTATCAGGGTTCGGTGGCAAAGTTGTGGGTCCACTTGTTGGAATCAGGGGTTCGGGGCTCTCCACTTCCGCCTGAGTCACTTGCTCAAAACTCATTCGGGTAGATGCACGTTAGGGGCAGTCCCAGCCATAAATGGGTGCGGATCTCCGCCTTTTTTTCATTTCCTGACATGGATTTGGGTCGGTTCTGATTGTGACTCCCCTGGTATTTCAGGCGGTTGGGGCCTATCGGCCCCCATCGACGGCTTTCGAGGCAAGTCCATTGTGCTCTTCACCAACGGGGATAAGTACGTGGGTGGCTTGCGCAACGGCCAGAAGGATGGCGAGGGCATGTGCGCCCAGAGAAACATATATACTGGTGCCAACACAGAGCTACAAAAGGCGCCTAGATGCTAAAATTGGGTGTTAAGAGGGATGGTCACGGACCCCAGTGTAGGAGTTTTGGACAACCGTGGTTTTTAATAAGG